TCTTCTGACTGATTCTCCTTTCATCCTCCCCGTTTAATATCGTCTCTTTTTTGGCGCCTATGCACACGCGATTCTGATCTTCTTCGCTATTCCTCTGCAGCTTTTTAATATGCTCTATCCTCCGGTTTCGTTTCGGCCCAGCTTACTAGTCGACTTTAAAGTTGCTCGATCAATGGCAGACTTAGCTTGGCTTGGCTTGGCTTGGCCTGGCGCATCGCGCCGCGGACAAGTTGGGCTGTTTCAACGACTCGGAAGGCCTTTTAGGCCCTTCAGGCGATCAATACGAGGGCGAGCTTCATTCAGGCATGTTGTCTCGACGGCCGACTGAACGTGTAAGCGGCGATCGATAGGACGTGTGGATTCGGTCCTGACAAGTGCATTTGGCCGGTTTGTCGTCCGCGTCTGCGTCTGCGTCTGCGTTTTTCTTGAAGCATAAGTGAGGGATTCTTTTGAAATTGCGTCTGCCGACTTGAACGAACGTCTTCGCCTCCGATTCATTCGTGCTGAGCCCTCGTCGGTACCAGATTTGGCCGGTTGCAACCGGCCATTCGGTCGGCCACTTTGCGCTTCTCGTTGCATGCCCGAGGATGCAGCCAAGCATGCCATTTCACCTACAAATCATCTTTACTCTTTACCGACACTGTTGACGTATGCTCTGCTGCACCGTTGCACACATCTTGTGTGTGCGCATTGAAAGAAGATGTTCAAGCCAACCTATCAATCTTTAAACTAGACTTTTCACGCGATATGAAAACGTCAATGACGCGATATTCTCGAGGGATTCTTCATTGTAAAGTCAGTTTGTCTTCCAGACTAACTGTTGGCATGGCGTTTTGCTGAAAATGTTGCACCGAATCTAAACAATGCCGTCTCGAGGAGAGCGTCGCCCTGGCTGTCCCTGTCCGGCTGGACGACGACAGACCACAAGGCGGTGATTCGTCGTCACACTCTGGTCGGGTCGCCATACTGCTCTCTTCACAACACACCTTCATGTGAAATGAAATCCAGCCACATCTTGATCTGTCCTGGTTCTCATAGAAAGCTATTTTTTCTCATAATTTATTGTTTTGGTTTTCAACATTCATATGGAGGCTCTAGCTTTTTTTTGCCCTTTAACTTTGCTACCATATTTTAGTTCTTGAAACGAAAAGCTTTAAAGGTGTCATTAAATCTTGAATAATGCCTCCAGTTTCCCTAGATCGCATGTGATGAAGGATAGATAGTTGAATTTTCCTACACTACAATGAATAAGCCTCGCGTTTCCCTTACTTTTCACTCAACCTTGCTTCACACAAGGTATCCTCATCCATACTGGTTTGGACCTTAGTTTCAACCTCACAAAAGACCTTATCGGTATCGATTACGCGTCGAGATTAAGCACTGCATTAACCGGATTTTATTCCCATTGGAAGTGTTGACCAGTCCAGCCCGAATGAGAATAACTTTTGGGAATCAATTTTATGTGAAATTTGGGGGAAGTGGGAGGCCTACTCATCTGACAGTGGGAAAATTGAGCTTGGAACGTCGACTAATGCAATTGTTTAGGTTCAAATTGGAGAACAATTACTTGG